TTATTTGTTTGTTCTATTGCTAGTAGTGATTAATTTTCGAACCCTCCATCCTCAGATTCTTTTTCTGATAAGTCCCCCGTAGCGGCAAAGCCTTTTTCATTGAGAGATCAGCTTCTTGATCGGTCATTCATTTGGGTATGTACTTATCATTCTTGATTTCCTTTTCGTTCTCAGAACTATTCCTCTTTTTCTCTAGAACTTTTAATGGACAAAACTTCTCAAAGTGATCCGGACTTCCACACTTGTGACATACTTAATCTATTAGATTTTTCAGTGATTTTTTGTGAGTTCCTTATGTGGAACACTTGTCCCCTTTTTAACATTTTTGAGAACCTTTTTGTCATTAACGCAATGTTTTCATCCTCAAAATTTTCTAAGGTTGTGTCTGTAAGAACCAGATTCTTCTCTTTTCCTTTGCCTCCAATTTTCTTTTCTTGTTTTTTCTTGAGTTCATAGGTCATAGGATTTCCAACTAGTTCATCCATAGCTAACTTATCTAGATCACGTGCTTCAGTATTGACTTCTATTTTGCTTTCCCAAGATTCTGGAAGAACACTCAAATGTATTTTGACTTCTTTCCCATCGGGAATTATTTTACCTAGTGAGTAGATTTTATTAATGATAGCAGTGAACCTGGTGTGCATCTCTTGGATTGTTTCACCTTTTGCCATTTGAAACAGTTCATATTGTCTGTTCAAGTTATCTATTTTAGACTTCTTTACCTGAGTTGTTCCTTCATGCGCAGTTACAAAGTTTCCAATATTGCTTTTGCATCTTGACATGATGAGATTCAATTATATTCATCTGGACCTATTCCGCATATCAAGATCTTTTTTACTTTAGCATTGTTCGAAAGTGCAAGTTTATCTGCAACATTCCATTATTTCCTATCCTTTGGTACTTGAGTGGTTTCATCAGTTCCATTCTTTATGGTATGATTGGACCGTCCAACACAACTCACATAGGTTTGGGTTTTCTCCTAGTAAGTGATCTATCATGCGATTCTTCCGCCATCCATATACTTTCCATTAAACACTGCTGGTCGAGTTTGAGAAGCTCCTTCCTGTGATGTAGGTGGTGCATCCATTGATCTTTTTCAGGATGTTAGTTTTTCAATGAAAAGATCTGCTCTGATACCAATCGAAGAAACCTTACCCTGATACAAGAACCAGATTCTTGTAATTCTGTCGCAACATAATAAAACAAGATTTATCGTGGAAATCTTCCTAAATCAAGGAAGGGAAAAACCACACCGAAGTTTTATATTAATACAAGATTTACAACTCCGTTAATCAATGAATCTAACTCTAAACTTCTACCCTTTTCGATTATTTATAATCGAAAACTCTCACCACTCACCAAGAAGTCAAACTCGCTTCTTGTTTACAAAAACTCTCTACTCTTCTTAAATCTAACCACCCAAGAAGTCAAACTCACTTTTTGTTTACAATTCTCACAACCTCTCCCCCAAGAAGTCAAATCCTCTTCTTGTTACAATTCTCTCAAGACTCTACTCCCAAGAAGTCAAACTCATTTCTTGTTACACAATCTAGGAATCATTACAACTCAATAATAAACCTAGAACAAATCAACAAAGACTAATAACCCTAGACTTTAATTGATCAGACTTCAACATTCAATAGTTCAGAGTCGAACAAAAATCGTGAACCTAGTCCTTACTTTATTGTGCCGAAGGCCTGCATTTTTTCTACAGTAAATACTGCTCTCAAGATGATATATTTCGTGAATATGCAATAGTTATCGTTTTGGTTTGCTGAAAAATTCTCTCGATTTGTGTACATGCAAAGACACTTTTTTTCTTCAACTTCTTGATCCTTTTATAGATTTTGATTTGCATTCAACTTCTACAAGGAAAGGAATTACAAATCTTTTTCATTCTTGAATTTTTCTATATTTACTTCTTTCCTTATTTGACTTGAAATGTAACTTCTTCATTTATTTCTTTTTTTGGACTTGAATTGCTACTTTTTTGTTTCTTTCCTTCTTTATTTCTTTCCATATTTTTTCCTTCTTTTCCTTCTTTATTTCTGCACTTTTTCTTCTTTGCCGCATTACCTTTTCTTCTTTACCGCAATCTCTCATAATGGTATAGGTCATCTGCAGATAGAGTACGCATACGTCAACAAGTAGTGAACCATGCCTTCACTTTATCAATCATAAAAACTACTTATATGCTCTCCTACTTTCCAACAATACTTGCATCCTTGAAAATGTTAGGTCCACCTTTGGCACAAGAGGTCACAAGTTTAGGACCTGATTAAATTGTCTATGTGCTACTTGTGCTATAATTGTCTTGGGTTTTATATGTTATATTTTAAAGTAGAATTAGTTCACTCTTTCTTAAAACTCTTTAAGCATATATGAAAATACACAACAAAGTTTGTCCAAAATATATTTCAACTCTTGTCCTTAACAAGAGTAGTATTAATAAAAATAACATGTACGTATAGGCATCATAGGTCGATCCTAATCCAACACATAATATCATGCAATTACTCGGAAGAAAACATGAAATATAAGAATCACCCAACCCAAACTTTAGCTGCACACTCCTACTATTTCTGGTCTAATAATTATGACTCATAGACCTTAAATCACCTCACCTCCTTCCGTTGTAAACTTCACCATCCAAGCCATTTCACCACTCCCCTATCTATCAAATAAAGACATTTCAACCACTTAATCTATTAATATCTATAATTCCTCTATTGTTTTCATTTGTGAACCAAGTCCACTACTAACTCTGATAATCAGGCTACTACTTTTCTTCAACATCTCATGAAAATCCTGAATCTTGACAAATTTAGTAAACAAACTGCAAGACTCTTACTAAATTTGATTTACTGAAATCCCTATTATCATATATGTCCTAGACCACCCAAACTGACAAATATAGTGCAAGTTAGTAAATAAGAAAGATTTTTGTTCAACATCCTGACTTAACAACCATTTAAAACATGTCCAAAATCATAACAATCACCCATACCCAATTTTTCACACGGTTCAAACAATATGGATCATGATAGATCCTTTAGAGATTGTTTAACATGTAATCCTAGTCTACTCAAGGACCATTCAAGCATTTAGCTCAAATCTCAGCTACTCATAAACCAACATGTAACAATAGCATTATGAAAAAATTTAAATATAGTTAACACATAAAATTCACACACAAACGGTCATTATACCCAACGTGGTTTCTAAGTTAATCATATAGATATCCTTGTAAAAGGCATAGTATTTAAGACAATGGTGTCACGACCTAAAATACATCCTAGATGTGACATGGTGTATAAGGCCTTGAGAGGGTTCTAGGGGCGAGTGAGGAACAGTGAGAGGTGTTTGTTTGGGTAAGTACCAAAATAGAGTGGGCTAAGGTTAGATCTTAAGGTAACGAAACTACATGGCCTTGGTTAGGCAAGGTGACGAGAATTTAGGGGTATGACACGATCGAGTGGTAGGAAAGGAAGGTGTTAGTACTTGGGAATATTAGCCGGGGTTATCATGTTTACACTATGATCTAATAAAACCGGAAGTGTTAGTTGTGAGAAAAGTGGATAGTATTCAGAGGTGTAAACCCACATGTGTTCTAAGAGAGGACAAGGGTGGAGAAGCGAGTGGTTAAATGCATGATCTTACTCTTTATTTTTTATCTTATGAAGTGGGTGTCGGGTTAACCGATGATGCCTACTAGTACGTGTGGTTTTACTGATACTACTCTTGCTATGTCTTTTGACATAGTCTGGATCCAAGATTGGTGATGTCTCATTTGGTGAAGATAATGAAATTCTGCAACAGCTTCTATTTTTTTCTGTATAGTGGGAGTTGTGTCTTTTGTTATTTTGTCCAATTTTTACTGTTAATAGCTCTTGTACCTGTTAGACTAGATCTTTAGGGTTGTTAGTTACTTTAAGAGTCTTAACTAGTTCGTTGAAAAAGATCCCTTTTGTAAAGATTTTGATCTCTATTATATCCGTCCTTCGTTAATTTTTCCGCATGTTTAAATCTTTGGGGTATAAAGGTTCTTCTACTTAGGTGTTAGAGCGGGTATCTGCACATCCCGGTAGGTTGAGCCGTGACAGGGTTAAAATAACTTTGATAAAGGGTCTTAGGCTTGGGTAAAACGACATGGATTTTATCTAATTAAAAAAAAAACTCTTTTTGACCCAACTTACAGTGGTCTGCCCCACCTTCATGGGGGCACCACGGCTCGTCTAATATAGGAATTATATTAATATTTTTATTTGATATTTATATATGATTAATAATTGAAATAGTTAACTATTATATTCTTAATAAGTTATCGATTAACCCAAACACTCAATTATAAAAAATCAATATCCAACCAATAAGCCAATATATTTTTTATAAAACCATTACTTAACTATTAATCCAATAAACTAACAACACTTTTTTGATTCAGTTTATCGATCGATTCAATATTTGCACACTTCTAAAATGTACGTATTAAAATAATACTATTTCTTCTTCTTCTCTTACTTTATATTCACATATTTTATACAATTATATATGTATGAGGATACAATTTTTAAAAATAGTGTGAAGAGAAATTGTGGTAGGGTAATTCCTTCATATAGACCCTCAATTTGCACTCTCAAAATATGGACAATTTGCACACAATGAAACAACCATCACACTAAATTCAAGAAATACTATGGTACAAATGTTAATTCTTCCTTATTATATAAACCACATAACATCCAAAGGGCGTTCACACGGAGGGAGTTTACAAGAAAACTAAATGAAACACAAATGTTTTTGCTATATTAATCGTTCTACACGCTAACATTTGTCCTTGGTTCAAAAGACCTTTCTTCTTCAAGACTAACTTCATTATCATGGTAAGAAGTTAAAGTGGTCCTTGGCTCAAAATCTTTCGTAAAAGTTGATTTTACTTGTTTGAGGCCAACATCACCATGATAGTAAGCAGTTAAAGTCGGCCTTGGTTCAAAAGACCTTTATTCTTCAAGACTAACTTCATTATCATGGTATGAAGTTAAAGTGGGCCTTGGCTCAAAATCTTTAGTAAAAGATGATTTTACTTGTCTGAGGCCAACATCACCATGATAGTAAGCAGTTAAAGTCGGCCTTGGTTCAAAAGACCTTTCTTCTTCAAGACTAACTTCATTATCATGGTAAGAAGTTAAAGTGGGCCTTGGCTCAAAATCTTTAGTAAAAGATGATTTTACTTGTTTGAGGCCAACATCACCATGATAGTAAGCAGTTAAAGTCGGCCTTGGTTCAAAAGACCTTTCTTCTTCAAGACTAACTTCATTATCATGGTAAGAAGTTAAAATGGGCCTTGGCTCAAAATCTTTAGTAAAAGATGATTTTACTTGTTTGAGGCCAACATCACCATGATGGTAAGAAGTTAAAGTCGGCCTTGGTTTAAAAGAGTTTTCTTCTTTAAGACTGACTTCATCATCACGATAAGAAGTTAAAGTCGGCCTTGGTTCAAAATCTTTAGTAAAGGATGATTTTTCTTGTTCGAGACTAGCACCATCATGATAGTAAGCAGCTAATGTCGGTCTTGGTTCAAAAAACTTTTTTTCTTTAAGACCAACTTCATTATCGTGATAAGAAGTTGCAGTTGGCCTTGGTTCAAAAGACTTTTCTTGTTTCAGACTAGCTTCATCATGATAATAAGCAGTTAGAGTTGGCCTGGCTCGAAAGGAACACCAGGGTTTCTTCTTGCATCTGATCTGCTTGCATACTGCTCAAAAATGCCATACTCAAAATGTTAATCAAGTAGTGTTTCACATATAAAAATTACGATATTTTTCCAGTATTTCAATGTAAATTTGTTTCTCTCAGTAAGTTGATTTCGTTGAAAATACATATTTTTCTTGAAAAAACATTGTTTTATAACTCAATTTTTTCATTAATTACGAGGTAAGAAACCCTCTATTTCTAATAGAGATAGAATTTCTTCCATAACAAACATTAAATAGAGTTATCTATAATTACTTTTAAATAAAATAATTGTTTAAATTATTTTTGTGCATTGTTAATGGATAGAAATTTGACTTACCAAAGCAAATGAAATGAGGAGGATGAGAGCAAAAATTGATTTCATGTCTTTAAAGGAGGTACAATTCATATGTTTTTTGCTATTGATATTTGGTTGGTGCATGGATAAAAAATCCCCCATTTTATTATATAGACAAGATGGGCAAATACAAAACAATATAATAATAGTAATAAAAATAAAAACAATAAATAATAATAATTAAAATTAGAAGAAGTATAGAATTACCAAGCGGGCCCTCTTAGCTTCATCATGCTTCGTGTTTCATGTGATATAATTAATAATAATAATTAGAAGAAGTATAGAACTACCAAGCGGACCCTCTTAGCTTCTCCATGTTTCGTGTTTCATGTGATGAAATTATTCTACAATCAAAATATTTTTCGTTAAAACTAGGGGAAAGTGTGTGAAATATATTTAAATTTTAATCAAAATTGTTGTTACGATATCAAATTTTAGAATAATTTTTTACTCCCTTTCACAATTTAATAGTGTATTTTAATTGTATATATGTATTCACATAGACATAAAAAATATTGCACAATTATAAATAGTAATGTGTCCACATTAACACATATATACCTTTAAAATACACTATTAAATAACTCAGAAAGTAAAATGTCTTTTATAAAATTTGGTATCATAGCAATAATTTCAGCCAAAGTCGAGTATTTTTCAGACCTTTTTTCCTTAAACTATTAAATATATAGAGAGAGAGAGAGTGGAAATATAGGGAAGGTTAGTGTGTTCATCTAGTTGAGGGTATTTATGTAATATTTGTATTTTTTTTCATTTCAATTTATACATTTTTTTAATTTTTCTAATATTTGAGAATTATATTTCAAGAAAATACTATAAATTGTGATAATTAATAATTTAAAATATTTAGATTAAGTAAATATTTAAATCTCAAAAATTTATTGATGTCACATAAATTAGGACAAAAGAATAACACATATTATTTAAAATTCGCATAAAAGAACACTGTAAATAACAAAAATTAACTACTTGAAATATTATAAAAAATATAAAAATTTGGTTGATTCTTGAATTTTATATCCACCGCGAAGATTGAAATATAGAGAGTAATAGATATTATTTAAAAATATATACAAATTACTAGAAATGACAATAATTACCAATTTCAAATATTTTAAAATTATAATATTTTGGGATGATTCTCCAAATTCCAATGATATCACATAAATTGAGGTATCATATATGGTATATAGAAATTGCTTGGCAAGGCTGAAGTACTTTTTGAAAAGAAAAAAAATTGTAATAAAATTAGGCAACGCCTTGATAAACATTTTGAGTATTTAAGATTGATAAAAATTCCTACTGATTGAAGCAATTTGTTAATTAAATTAAAAGTTATAATGGTAAGAATGATATCTTATTCATGACCTAAGTTTATTTCTAATCCAAGTAAAATCATAAATAACATTTAATGAAGAATAGTTCTCGTTTTTACATTAGTTACTTGAAGGACGTATCATATTAAGTTTTAGCCTCTAAATGGTCTTCCCTTAACCCATTAGGATTACCACATATTATATACATTATTTCCATCGCCGATGACTATGGTAACATAAGACTAGGGCAAGGAAGTAGAAACTAATTTATGACTTGTGCTTTTGCTTCTCTCTGTGATAATATCTTCCGCAATAGATATGTACCCTAACGATCTCTATATAAAATTATCGTCTTCAAAATCCTGATGTGTATTAATATATTAAGAGTCTATATGTGACATCTGAGCCAAAATTGTTTGAACTGATAATCTTCATATATAAAACGTATGCATATAAAAACTAAATTAATATATCATTTGCAATTTTGTTAGAACAAGCATATTGAGAAGATATGCAAGAGGTATAGATCCAAAATCATTTCAGAAGGTCTCAATGACAAAAAAAAAACTAAATCAATGAGGATGGTCTCAAAAAATTTCTCCATTACCGATAATATTTGGAAAATTAATAGTAATTTTTTAATTCGTGCTTACAATATAGTATGTTGATGCAAAGCAATGTTTAACTGACAATTAAGAAACCTTTTCCCTTAGTCAATAAATGATGGGTTAAGAAATTTTTTTAGAAAACTTCCTTTTATTCATCATTTGTTCTAGTGTGTGGTTACCTTTGCTAGTGCTAAGTTGTTGTGTTTTGTTTTGGCAGATGTCGAGGATCAGATCTTTTGTTTCCAATGGTAGAGGAGAGGCAATCCTCGAGGCTATTTTGAGACCTAGCTAGAGGTAGAGGTAGGGCATGAGCTAGAGATCGTGCTAGTGGAGTAGCACCGGTTAGAGTTCGTGAACGTGGAGTGGCACCAATTAGAGGCAAAGCTAGAGAGGCCTTGTCACGACCCAAAACGTGTCGTGAGTGGCACCCACACTTACCCTCCTATTTGAGAGAACCAACCAATCCAAACCCCAACATTTCAACCATAATAAACAGAATAAAATGCGGAAGACTTAAAACTCATTAACGAAATCAACTAATAACTTCTAAAATTCAAAACTTATTATTATCCCCAAAATCTGGAAGTCATCACCACAAGAACATATATCGTCAAATTACTAATCTAAGAGTATCTAAGGAGCTAAAATAATTAAACAGCTAGTCCATGCAAGAACTTCAAGGCATCAAGACGTGAAGGAGAAGATCCAATCCAAGCTAGAAACAATAGCTCACCCTGAAATCTGACGTGATGAAGACTGGCTAGAGTTGCGGTTGAGTTGAAGACGACGGTACATTTGCTGCACTCCACAATTAACAAAGAGAAAACATGCAAGTAGGGGTTAGTACAAAACACAAGTACTGAGTAGATATCATCGGCCAACTCAAAATAGAAAGCAATATATATCAGATAATATCATACAGCCAACTACAATACACAACAAGTAGCAACAACCAGTACAAGAATCATTGATAAATAACGCCAAGTACACCCATGAGGACTCAAGCCTCCATACCATACTCATTTGGGAAATAGGTTCATTTAATCTGAGTATATTAAGATAATTCAAGATTCATTCTCTCTACTATCCTGGTGTCGGAACGTGACACTCCGATCCTCCTCATACTATCCTGGTGTCGGAACGTGACACTCCGATCCATTAGTCTATTCTGGTGCCGGAACGAGACACTCCGATCCATTAATCTATCCTGGTGCCGGAATGAGACACTCCGATCCATTAATCTATCCTGGTGCCGGAACGAGACACTCCGATCCATTAATCTATCCTGGTGCCGGAACGAGACACTCCGATCCATTAATCTATCCTGGTGCCGTAACGAGACACTTCGATCCATTAATCTCATTCTTTTTAGTTTATCAAGCCTTCTTTTATACCAAGGCATCATCATTAACAGAGAGGTTCAAGGTTTAAGATTCAACAGCCTCATCATGCTTATTTTATCACAATTATATAATCACATCATGCAAGCATACAATTAAGCATATAGAAGACTTTACAATACTACCAATACATATCATTCGCTATTAAGAGTTTACTATGAAATAGCATAAACCATAACCTACCTCCAATGAAGAATCGTGATCAAGAATCTACTTTCCAAGCCTTTTCGTTTCCCCTTCTCTCGTTCGTTTCTCCCTCTCTCTGTTCTTTCTCTTTTTCTTATTCAGACCCTTTTTCTTTTACCCTAATTGTCATATAATTAAGTATAAAAGATGATAAAAATAACCCACTAATTATTCCAAGGTTATCTCCTTTAACCCTCAAGTAATTGAATTATTAACATTAAACCACTAACTTTATAATTAATAGCAGGAATAGTCCAAAACGCCCCTTAAAACATTTAACAGAAATCCGACCCAGTCAGGTTTACGCAGCCTGTGACGGCCCGTCGTGCCTGCGACGGTCCGTCCTGCTGCTTCCGTCACAAAGTTCAGAGACTAAATTTCACTAAAGGGTCTGTGACGGTCCGTCGCGCCCACGACGGTACGTCCTGCCATATCGTCGCGAAGTTCAGAGAGTTGCTCTCAGTACCCAAATTTTTAGAATTTAAGTGTTTTGGAACGAGACCCCCTCGACGGTCCGTCGTGCCCATGACGGTCCGTCGTGGGATCCGTCGACTCAGACAGTTATTACCAGAAATAAACTCTGCTGCACATAACGACTAAACAGGTCATTACATAGATACCAATTTACCCATCGTTCGTCCTCGAACGATCACAAGAAGAAAAACAAGGACGAAAAGAAGTACCTGAGTCTGTAAAGAGATGTGGATATTTTTCTTGCTTATCAGCATCCTTCTCCCAAGTGGACTCTTCAACTGGCCGATTCTTCCACTGAACCTTGATGGATGCAATCTCCCTTGATCTCAACTTGTGGACTTCTCTATCTAAAATAGCAACAGGCTCCTCCTCATAAGACAAATTCTCATCAAGAAGGACTGAATCCCAACGAATGATGTAGTTTCCATCCCCATGATATCTTTTCAACATAGACACATGAAATACCAGATGCACTCCTGACAGTCCTGGGGGCAAGGCTAATTCATAAGCTACCTCCCCCACGCGCTTCAGAACTTCGAATGGACCAATGTACCTCGGACTAAGCTTACCTCGCTTACCGAACCGCATCACCCCTTTCATGGGTGAAACGTTCAGCAAAACTTGTTCACCCTCCATAAACTCCAAGTCTCTAACCTTTTGAT